TCCTTCATTTCAACCCTGGTGAATCTGACGATTATGTGCCTTGGAGTTGCTCTTCTTGAGGAATATCTCTGTGGTGTTCTCTGTATTACCTGGAGTTGAATGTTATCCTGCCTTACTAGGTTGGGAAGATTTTCCTGAATAATATCCTGAAGCATATTTTCCAGCTTGGATTCATTCTCTTCGTCACATTCAGGTACACCTATCAAGCGTAGATTAGGTCTTTTCACATAGTCCCATATTTCTTGGAGACTTTGCTCGTTCCTTTTTATCCTTTTTTCTCTAATCTTGTCTTCTTGTTTTATTTCATCGAGTTGGTCTTCGACCTCTGATATCCTTTCTTTCTTCTGCTTGATCAATTCGGCTGTTAAAACTTGTGCATACTTCACGTAGTTCTCGTATTGTGTTTTTCAGCTCCATCAATTCACTTATATTCCTCTCTAAATTGTGTATTCTTGTTAACATTTCGTCAAACCTTTTTTCAAAGTGCTTAGTTTCTTTAGATTGGGTTTGAACAAGTTCTTTCCATTCACAGAAGTTTCTCATTATCCACATTTTGAAGCCTGCTTCTGTAATTGGAACACACTCGTTCTCCATCAAGCCTTGTTTCGTTACTGATGAGGTACTGTGATCCCCTGCTGAGGGAGAGGAATTCTGATCTTGGGTATTCTCAGCCTTTTTTGGCTGTTTTCTTCCCTCCGTTGTAGATGTATCCATCTGTGGTCTTTATAATTACCGTCTTTGTAATTGGGTTTCCGAGTGGACGTCCAACTTACTGATTCTCAGCGCCGAAATCTGAGCAACCCACTGCGCCGACTAAATCAGCAGCATTAAGATTGATGGTGCTTTTCTGACTCTGCACCAAGAACCGATGCTCCGAGGTGCTGGCAAAACCGCCTCGCCAGTCACAAGAGTCGCGTTGGCGACCCGTGGGGCTCCTCTGCTGGGAATCTCCTGGTGCGTGAGCAACAAGAATTCATGTGAAGGTGTGGCGTCCTCTCGTTCTTTGTGCTTTCACTGGGAGCTACAATCTGGAGCTGCTAGTGATCAGCCATCTTGGATCTCCTTTTCTAACCTTGATATTTTTAAATTACAAATATATACTGCCACTTCTTGGTTTTTTAGTTTTAGGAATTTTCTATTCACCTTCTCTTTGGCAGATGAGCAGATAGTACCCTTTCAGCAAAGACTCAACATTCACATTGCACATTTCAGTACCCCACGCCCCCAGTATAGTAATGGGAATAGAGACTTGTGCATCCTCATCTGAAACTGATGTCCTAAGAACCAAAAGTTGGATCTTAAGGGAATAATAAATATTTTGCAATGCTCCCTCCCAAAAATAATAGTTAAAAATAAAACATAAGGCATAATTTATCCTCAGATAATTTAATTGAATCATATATAAAAGGATTTGCTTCCCTGGATTTGAATGTTGGTTTCTACATTACCAATTAGTCAACACAAGAGGCAGAGAAATCTAAATTCAAATTGTTAGGTGTCGCTTCCATTGAAGAAGAAAAGTTCTGTTTTCATATGTTCAACTTGAACACAATGTTTTCAGGAACAGACTTATCATGACAAATAAAATTTGTTTCTCGGAATACATATGTATCAATATCTCTTCATTTAATAAACTTCCATTTTAGCCAAAGGGTGAATTCAAAATTCTTCCTGCATTATTATTTTCCAAAGAAGAGTGGGGATATGTGTCCCTCTTGTGCCACACCATAACCTGGACAGTAGAAAGTGACTAAGGACATTTTTCTCCCTGAAGCCTTTGGGACCCTGGCCTGAAGAGGTCTCTTGTTGGTTAGGACTCAGAACCCTCACAGAACGTTGTGACCTGCCTGGCATTGCACAGAGAGCTTCCTGGGTAACTCTTGATTCACCGTCCCATAAATGTCCAGATGGAGGAAGTGGTCTGGGGAAGATGGGCCATTATGAAGATTAATGCTTTTATGGCTAGGAGCAGCCTTGATATTGCCACCGTCTTGTTAGGTTGGTTTAACCCTGAGTTTGATGGACAGTAAACAGGTAAAAGGAATTGTGTGAAGGACAGGAGGGTTCGCCTGGCTGGTTTTGATTTCAGAGTCACCCAGAAAGTCTCCATTTTGCTCCTCTAACCATAAGATGACGTGTACAATCACAAAATGTTGCAGTTGAAAGAGACTTAAGTTTTGGTTCTGGCTTAGAGGGTGAGTACTGATGGAAAGGACCTCAAAGATCAAGTCCCATTCTCTCATTTTCCAGAACAAAGTCCAAACTGAAAGCCAAAGAGACAAATGACAGTCTTAACATCACACAGAGATGGTCTGGCCTGGAGCAGGGGAGGGCAGGACCCAAGGCTACCTGGGAGCTCTTTCTTCCCTTTCTGTGCATCTGAGGGCAGCAGTTCCCCACCCCAGGTGCACACTCACATCTCCAGGACAGATTGTAAAATGCCCAAGCCACACCCGTAGAGATTCTGATTCACTGCCTTAAGGCAAAAGATTCAGCCCTGAAGCCAACTCAACTTCTACAATGAGCTTGGCACAGCACAGAAGCTCAATAAACTTTACTGAATGTTAATTCAGAATTTAATGGGTACAAATGAGTAAACGATTATCCTTGCCAGCTAATATTGCCTATTTTTTTTCAACTGGATAGAATTTCTAAAATTCACAAAAGTAGAGAGGATAGTGTAATAATTTGTGTAGTATATGATTTGCGTTTTTACAGGGGTTTTTTAGAGGGTATATCAGAGAAATGACTCTAATGGTGATAAGAATTTCAGTCACCCCCACTGGACCAGGAGCATGCTATGTGTGTACAGTGGTCTGGGAGGTTTTCAGGCCTGTGAAGGGATTTAATGCCTAGGCATCCTGGCAGCCAGAAACACAGAAGGATGCTATAAAGGGCTTTTCCTCTCTAGTGCCTAGGCATCCCGGCATCTAAAGAGGACCCCCTCGATATAGAATAGAAACAGAATAGCCCTTTACAGAACAGAAACACTCTCCCCTGGAAGCCCCACGGCAGACCTCAGCTCCAAGCGGGGAGAGGCAGAGTTAGAATGAGACAGTTTGATTGGCGATGGGGCTGAAATCTCCAGGGGTGCTTACTCAGTTGAAACTTTCAACTAGTTATTATCAGTTCATGAAAAAGTTTTAGCTTTTCTTTTAAGCTCGCTGTAGCTATCGGACCTCCAATAAGTTTCCTTAATGACATGAGGGCAGTGATTCACAGAGGATAGATGCCTAGCGTAGCTTTCTAGTTTCTGGGAAAGGTGGCCCCCAGCCAACTTGTGGGCTTGACTGTTGAGGCTGGGAGCCCTGGAGAGAGGGCCTCAGGGTGCAGGAGCAGAGGGGTGCACAGCTGCCGAGCCCAAGAGGTGGGAGGCTGGGGATGGCTGCGGAGTCCAGCTTCCTCCTACGCTTCTACTCAGTGCCAGAGCTTCCTTGATCCTCTAGAGAAGTAGTCTTAAGCAAGACTCATCGTTAAGCTGGGTCAAGTACATGCCTGCTTCTTCTCCTTCAGCTACAACAGGAGGAGGGAGGCTTGCCTTCGGGGCCTTCCTCAGCCTGCTTTCAGAGACCTGTGCTTCTCCTTTTCTTCTGCTTCTGGCCCCCCAACTCCTGCCCTGTTCCCAGTATTTTCATAGAAGTGTTACTGCTCAGGTTGGGTGGGTGGATGGGGATGTGACAGCCCATGTTAGGGACATCCTCCTTCATTTATCTTCCCATCAACCCTTACCAATTCTGTGCCCACTGACGGTGGCGGAGGGCAGGGGAGCTCATTAATCCATGTAGCCAATGTGCACAGGTAGGCAATGTGAAGCCTGAGTTGTCTATTAGGCACCTCTGTATCCCTAGCTCTCACCATAATTCTTGCCACATAATAGGTTCTCAACAGCCCTTTATTGGAAGGAAGGATAGATGGGAGATATGGGGGGGAAATACTGGACCTGAAGTGGGGAAACCTGAGCTCTCCTCTCGGTACCGCTAATGATTCCGCACACCTTTGATAAAGTTGCTTCATCACTCCGGCCTCAGTTTTCTCTTATATAAAACAAGGTAGTTAGATTGGTTGATCACTAAGGTCCTTGCAGTACCTCTTTTAGGGTTCTGTGACGGTACGGTTCCACATTACCCTGATCCACGCTGAGCTGTTAGGGTACGTGCTGAGGAGTAAATGCTGAGCTGCTACTCCTCTCAGGTGATACCGATGTTTAAAACAGGCCTTCTGGAAAACAGCACCAAGCCAAGGAGGGACTCTAATTCTGAAAATTCAAAGCTGAAGGGGAAGTCACGGGCCAGATTTGTGGGCACAGATTCCAAGTCAGAGTCCCACTCAACAACCAGGACCGAGACTGCCCCGACAGAGGATGTCTGAATGTCATACAGCAGGCCAGGCTGCAGGGTGGTGGGATCGTAGATGAGGAAGCCCATTCAGAGGGATAACGTCCCTCTCAGAGGTGCCTCCCGTACTGGTCCATGCCAAGTTTCCTTCCTATGATCCGGCTTAAATTCAAGTCTGGTCTTTAATATATTCTGCCTTCAGAATCTGGTGTCCCGATCCCCTCAATGAAAAAGAAAAAGGTCACTGTAGAGCCAAAAACATATTTTTAAAGGACCAGTATAAAATGGAATTGCTGGTACATTTCTACAGTGAACTTTTGATGAAATAAAGATATTCCTGACAAAAGATTGCATAGGAGGGCAGATTTAAGTGAACCAGTATGTTGGAAAGGAGCACGGACTAGATTTTATTCGCTTTTTATCAAGGCATTATTCCAAATTCTTGATATAAACCTGGAAAATAAACCCTGTATTATTTTCCTTTTTCCCCTATAATGATGAGGAAATTGATATGATTCAGAGAGGTTGAGTGACTTGCCCCAGCCTCTTACAGCCAGTAAGTGGGGGGATTACAAACCAAGTCTCTTATTTAATTCTCACTGTAGTCCTTTCTAGTGGATGTTTCAGTGCTAATTTTAAGAAAGACATTGAGGTTCAGAGGAGCTAATTACTGCATCAAGATCACACAGCATTCGAAGACTGGTACAAGGGAAAGAACGAAAGTCCTTTGAGGTTCTCCTAGGGAGCATAAAGGGATTCTGAATGTAAAAATCTTGAGAATCACTATTCCAAGCCAAGCTTTCTTCTCAGCTTTTCATTTCTGCCAGCTTTTATCAGTCACACAGATTTGAAATGCAGGAAGCATAGACTCATAGAGCTTGAAACACAGAAAGGCTCTCAAAAAGTATCTAGCCTACCTGGGCACAGTGGCTCATACCTGTAATCCCGGCACTTTGGGAGGCTGAAATGGGAGGATTGCTTGAGCCCAGGAGTTCAAGACCAGCCTGGAAAACATAGTGAAACCCCATTTCTACCAAAAAAAAAAAAAAAAAATTAGCCAGGGATAGTGGTGCACACCTATAGTCCAGTGACTTGGGAGGCTGAGGCCAGAGGATCACCTGAGGCTTGAGCCTAGGAGATTGTGGCTGCAGTGAGCCTTGGCTGTGCCACTGCACTCCAGCCTAGGTGACAGAGAAAGCCCCTGTCTCAAAAAAAAAAAGAAAAAAAAAAAAGAAAAAGAAAAAAGAAAGAAAAGAAAGTAATTTAGCCCATCAGTTTTCAAAATGAAACCCGAGAGTTCCCCAAAGGTGTTCCAGGGGCTCCCCTGGGGGCAAGGCCAAGTGGGTGGGGTTCCTAGAAAAATTGCTATTCATAAAACTAATGCTAGGGCCTCTCTTAGAAAGGAATTGCCTTTGCTTGGGAAAAGATCTAAGGAGATAGAAGTAAGGCCCTGGTGGTATGGCCTGGAAGGCAGCAAGGAAGAGCTGGTTAAACCATTAGCATGAAGAATTAACAGGATTTGTAAAGCGAGGAGGAGCCAGAGAGAGAAGGAGGGAGAGAAGGCTGGTACTGTGGCTGAACGCCGGTGTGGAGTCCGCAGTAACGATACTGGAGCTTTCTAAGAACTGGGAAGTCTAATTCTAGCTGTGTGCTCTAATGGTCCTGTGATGTACACATGCCATCCCTGGCTCCCCTCCACACTTAGGTTCTTTATGTAAAGGAGCGGGAGAGAAAAAGTCGTGTCCTACATTTCTGCCAATGTTGAGGCAGAGAGGAAGAAAAAACCGCAAAACGCAGAATGTGGCAGAGCTAGACACTGGAGCCCAAGGTGATCAGAGTAAGCAAGGGCGTATGGACTCACAGAGTGTTTGGGGTTCAGGAGGGTCTTCTCCAGATCCTGAGGAGCAGGTGACCCAGTGATATCAAGACTAGCACAGGCTGGTTACAGTGGCTCACGCCTGTAATCTCGGCACTTTGGGAGGCCTAGGCAGGCAGATCACCTGAGGTCAGGAGTTCGAGACCAGCCTGGCCAACATGGCGAAACCCCGTCTCTACTAAAAATACAAAAATTAGCCAGGTGTGGTGGTGGGCACCTACAGTCTCAGCTACTCAGGGGGGCTGAGGCAGGAGAATCGCTTGAACCCAGGAGGCACAAGTTGCAGTGAGCTGAGATTGCACCACTGTGACACAGAAGGACTCGGTCTTTAAAGAAAAAAAAAAAAAAAGGCCGGGTGCAGTGGCTCACACCTGTAATCCCAGCACTTTGGGAGGCTGAGGCGGGCGGATCATGAGGTCAGGAGTTCAAGACCAGCCTGGCCAACATAGTAAAACACTATCTCTACTAAAAATACAAAAAAGTAGCCAGCCATGGTGGCAGGTGCCTGTAATCCCAGTTTCTTGGGAGGCTGAGACAGGAGAATCGCTTGAACCTGGGAGGTGGTGGTTGCAGTGAGTGGAGATCACACCACTGCACTCCAGCCTGGGCAGAAGTGGGAGACTCTGTCTCAAAAAAAAAAAAAAAAAAAAAAAAAGACTAATGCAATACTTGAGAGGCTGAGGCAGGTAGACCCTGTGAGTCCAGGAGTTCAAGACTAGTCTGAGTAACATAGAAAGACCCTGCCTAAACGGCAAAAAAATAACTGATGTAATAGCCCCTAGTTGATCTCCTTACCTCTTGTCAAATGATTCCATTTTGTTCTGCTGGTTGATTATTTATCTGAAAATAATTTTTATCACAACTCTCCCCAGTGAATGTAATGACAGTTTCCTCTTATTAGATTAAACCAAATTTCTTAAGCCTGGCCTCTCACACTGCTGATGTGATTTGATCAAGCTGGTCTCCCAGGACCACATCCATCCACACTGCTGCCCTGTCCTTTGCTTTGCTAGTCCCTCACCTAAAAACACTCTTTGCCTCTGTTGATTTATCCAAACCTACCAGCCTTCAAGGCTCCTCATCGCCACAATTCTGGACAGCAGGAGAGTCTCTCCTTCCCAGCATCACAGTGCAGGTGAACTTGGTCTTGGAAATTTGGTCAAGCTCAAATTTCCATGCTTCCCTAGCAAAGTTGTAAATGCATTGTTTGATGGAGAGAATCACCAACAGATGTCTCTTGTGTCTTCAGCAAATGATGGCTACATGTCCCAGGCTTTCTGAGACAGACTCAATTTCAAGTAGTCTGCTTCTTGCAAAACTTCTTTCAGATCATGCATGGTTAAAGAAACAACAGACATCTGTCTATATTTTTCTACTTTATTTTTTGAAACCAGCATTTCCTAAAACATTTAATCATGTTTATATGCCTTTTACATATTAAGGAAGAAGTTGCATACTGAATCTGGCCTGGATATGTTTTGTTTTCTTTAATGAAGTTTCTTTTGGTTTGTTTTCTGTTTTTTGGGTTTTGAGACAGCATCTTGCTCTGTCACCACCCAGGCTGGAGTACAGTGGCGTGATCTCGGCTCACTGCAACCTCCACTTCCCAGGTTCAAGTGATTCTCCTGCGTCAGCCTCCCGAGTAGCTGGGACTATAGGCACTAACCATCATGCCTGGCTAACTTTTGTATTTTTAGTAGAGATGGGGTTTTGCCATGTTGACCAGGCTGGTCTCAAACTCCTGACTTCAAGCAACTCGCCCACTTCAACCTTCCAAAGTGCTGGGATTACAGGTGTGAGCCACCATGCCCAGACTAATGAAGCATTTTTAAAATTAGTTTGAGTTGACTGCCAACATTTAAAAATGAAGTGATTTCACCTACGAATCCAGCTTACCAACTTCTCTTGAAAAAAATCAGACCTGATAATTTCATGGCCACAGTCTACTGGAGTTGAGCAGTAGTCATTTTGCAAAGGGTCATGCCCGCCCCACAGTCCCCAGAACTCACCACTGCCTACTCGCCCCATTGAGAATCCACTTCCATTGTCTTCATGTCTGTATTATTTTTTTCTTATAGTAAAGAGCATGAAAGTCTGGGTGCAGTGGCTCACACCTGTAATCCCAGCACTTTGGAAGTCTGAGGCAAGGGAATCACTTGAGGTCAGGAGTTCAAGACCAGTCTGGCAAACATGGTGAAACCCCATCTCTACTAAAAACTATAAAAATTAGCTGAGGATGGTGGCATGTGCCTGTAGTTCCAGCTACTCAGGAGGTTGAGGCAAGAGAATTGCTTGAACCCGGGAGGCAGAGGTTGCAATGAGCTGATATTGTACCTTTGCACTCCAGGATGACAGAGTGAGACTCTATCTTAAAAAAAAAAAAAGAAGAGGAAGAGGAAGGAAGAAGAGGAAGAAGAAGAGGAGGAGGAGGAGGAAGAGGAATAAGGAGGAGGAGGAGGGCATGAAGAAGCATATTTATATTCAAGTTGCATTGAAATTGCTTTATCCAGCCTGCTTCACTTCTTTATGCTACATCCCTGGACCCCACTGCATTTACATTTACGAGCCCTGTTGTAACACCTGTCAGCATCACACGAACAAGAAAAAGGGAATAGTTGCCAAAATAGCTCCTCTGCCCCCACCCTCACCTCTATACATCAGTATACAGATATCAGAACTAGTACTGAAGGAAGCCCTGGGCCACAGTGCTATCCAGGGTACTATTAAGTCACCCTGTCTAAGGTACCATTAAGACACTACCCTCCCCAGAGTATCAAGGAGACTTCAGGAAAACACAATGAGAAATATAGCTGATATGCACAAAATTGTAACCTTTTGAGGTGGTGTTATGTGGCTATCAGAAAAGGCATATCAAGGAAAAGAGCTCACTCAAGGGAAACTCCATCCGTGGAAGCAGGTATTCTGATGTAAAGAATTCCAAGGGTGGCTTTCCCTCAGCCCCTTCCACAGCCCTCCCTGCCCTTTGAGCTAATTTCATGCTCACCAAGCAACCTCCTTGTTATAAATTCCATTCCAGGAAATGTGTGTCTTGGAAAGCAAATGTGAATATTCTGCTCACCGGACAGCTGTGCTCATTTATGGCTCATTTGCAAATTGGCCTCTTGGCAGGCAAGTTGCTTAAGAGGTTAGGGTATCACAGGTCTATATCACCCAGGACCTGAATTAACAAAACTGAGCTTCTGGTCTTACAAAACTGAGGAGCTGATCGAGTAAAACTCAAACAGTGGCATCCTTGCCAAGGGATAGATTCGTCTGCCAGCCAGCCAGCTAGCCACCTTTTTGCTGCTAGAGTTCTGAGTGCTGCAGCTTCTAACCCCTGCTCTGGAGGTCTGCGATAGGAGACCAGTGGGTCCTTCTGTGGTTTGCGACTGAGCTCTCACTGCCCCTGGGCTCTGACCCTGATTAGTGCCTTGCTCTGCATCTGACCCAGAAGAGCACTATGTGGAAACAACCTCCAGTGGAAACTTTTCAGCAGGGACCAGGTGACCACCCATTGGAGATGCCTGCAGGGATCCTTGTTCTGCTTGGGAGGCTGCACTTTATTTATTTTTTTATTTTTGAGATGGAGTCTTGCTCTGTCACTCAGTCTGGAGTGCCGTGGGGCAATCTCGGCTCACTGCAACCTCTGCCTACCAGATTCAAGCAATTCTCTGCCTCAGCCTCCCAGTAGCTGGGATTTCAGCCTCCCAGTAGCTGGGATTTCACTGCAACCTCTGCCTACCAGATTCAAGCAATTCTCTGCCTCAGCCTCCCAGTAGCTGGGATTTCAGGCACCCACCACCATTGGTGGCTAATTTTTGTATTTTTAGTAGAGATGGGGTTTCATCATCTTGGCCAGGCTGGTCTTGAACTCCTGATCTCGTGATCCACCCACCTCAGCCTCCCAAAGCGTTGGGATTACAGGCGTGAGCCACCGTGCCTGGCCAGCTGCACTTCTTGATTTCATAAGTTTCTTTCCTCTCTGATGCTACATCTCAGCTTCCTTGGCTGGCTGGTGGCAGAGGGCAGAGCAAGGAGATGTAAGAACAGTGCTGACATTTGGCCAGTGAGCAGTTTCTGGTGGGTCTCCGAAATGAGAAGGCGATACTATTGCCTAGTATTCATCTAGCAGCTTCCTAGTAACCGGAGGTGCTCTCCTTAGATCCCTGGATACCCAGGAGAGGGAGACAAGGTGGGGAGGAAAGAAGGAACACTCTTATCAGCTCAGTATTCCTTTGAGACAGCAGGTGCTAGCTTTGGGCAGGGCATATAAGGGCTGGGAGTGTGCTGGGTAGGAAGAGGGGATTTTGCCCACTCAAACAAGACAGACAGGAGGGGCCAAACAGTTGCAGGGGGTAGGGGTGGATGTGCATGGAGTTAGCCCTGATGCTAAGGTTAAAAAAAGTTACACATCCTTTAATTCTGTTGAGTAAAGAGTTACACCAGGGGAGAGTTTTAAGGTGTAGTTTGATGCCCTGCCACCATCCATGGGTGGCGAGTGAGCAGATGAATGTAGCAGACCCCTGTATTCCCTCTGTGCCCTGCTCTAGACTGGCAACCAAAGTCTCAAAGGAAAACTGCGCTAATAAACCTATCTCTCTTAGGATGCCTATGACTACCAGCTTGAAGCATTGCTTTTACATTTTTCAGAGAGAAGATTATAATGAGCCCCATAACCCACCACTTCAATTTAACATTATTTTCATTTTGCCATATTCACTTCATTTTTGTTTGTTTTTTTTTCTTTTGTTTTGTTCTGGAGACAAAGTCTCGCTCTATTGCCTAGGCTGGAGTTCAGTGGCGTGATCTCGGCTTACTCCTGGGTTCAAGTGATTCTCTTGCCTCAGCCTCCTGAGTAGCTGGGATTACAAGTGTGTACCATCACACCTGGCTAATTTTTTGTATGTTTAGTAGAGACGGGGCTTCACTATGTTGTCCAGGCTTGTCTCAAACTCCTGACCTCAACTGGTCCACCCGCCTCAGCCTCCCAAAGTGCTGGGATTATAGGCATGAGCCACTGCGCCCGGCCCATATCCACTTCATTTTTATGCAAATCTCAAGCATCATGAAATAAGAAGCTTTAAAAAATCAGGATGTAGTCTCAACCCTAATAGCATTATCACACCTGACAAAATGAACAATAATTCTTAAACACTTTCTAACACTTAGTCCATATTCTAATTTCCCCAATTGTCCCAACAACGAGTCTGTATGGTTGATTGATTTGCAGCAGAGCTTTTGAAATACCTTTCCTCGAAGCCTCCAGCTTCCACCCAAGTGTCTCAATGACCCACAAGGGTAAGGCTGAGGGGGAAGGCCCAGGCCCCTGCCCCTGCTTCAGCAAGAGCAGTTTTTATTATTAGAGACAAAAAGGGGGTTTTCTGTTAAAAGAAAAAACCGAAAATCATTTTCATAAGGCACTATTTCTCATATTTTTCAAAGAGAATGCTAGTGCTGTAAATGCTTAAATCCGAGGGATAACTTCCTACTGGTAGGACAGTGGGAGTCCTTGCCAGTGCAGAGAGGGGATGGAATGAAAGGATTTGGGAGATAGTTGGATGAAGGCCCGCAAAAGAAAGAACCGAAGGCTGAAGCAGGCCAAAGCAGCAGCTCAGGCTGAAATGGAACAGTACCGCCTGCAGAGGGAGAAAGAGTTCAAGGCCAAGGAAGCTGCAGCCCTGGGATCCCATGGCAGGTGCAGCACCAAAGTGGAGAAGGAGACCCAGGAGAAGATGACCATTCTCCAGACCTACTTTGGGCAGAACAGGGTTGAAGTCTTGGATAACCTCTTGGCTTTTGTCTGTGACATTCGGCCAGAAATCCATGAAAACTACCACATAAATTGTTAAGAAGAGAGAAGCACCTGTTCTGTGGATTGGCATTTTACATGCCCTCATGGACTACGGAGCTTTAGTACAGCTCTAGTTATCTTCTTATGAAATGACGTTACATTATTTCCGTATATTATGCAGTTGGTCCTTCCACTTTTTGGAGAATAGCAAATCTAGCTTTTTTGTACAGACTTAGATTACCTAAAAATTTCATATTTTTACCTCATATTTCTTACGAATTTAATGAGCATATGTTGTCTTTTTTCCTATGCCTTTTGGCTCAAGCAACATGTATATCAATGTTGACTTTTTCTTTCTTAGATCTAGTTTTTTAAAAAACACCACATAACAATTCTTTGAAGAAAGGAAGGGATTAAATAATTTTTTCCCCTAATACTTTCTTGAAGGTCAGGGGCTTTATCTATGAAAAAGTAGTAAATAGTTATTTGTAACCTGTGTGAAGCAGCAGCCAGCCTTAAAGTAGTCCATCCTTGCTAATGGTTAGAATAGTGAATACTAGTGTAATTGGGCTGCTTTTAGTTTCTCTTAACCAAAATTACTAGATGATAGAATTCAAGAACTTGTTGCATGTTACTACTTGGTGTATCAATAATCATTTAAAAGTAAAGACTCTTTGTCCTGCAAAAAAAAAAAAAAGAAGAAGAAAGAAAGAAAGAAAGAAAGAAAAAAGAAAAAGAAAGCTTAAAATCACCTTGAAACCAATCTTTGAGTTAAAAGGAACTTGGGATTCTTTCTTTGACTTTCTTGGACATTTAGGTTTTCAATTCATTTGTAAACACTGGTTTGGAAAGAAGTTTAGGTAGATCCAGGTTTGCAGTTTTAATCTGAAGCCACATTTCTGGGCTTTCCTGTAGCATACCCAGCTAACTGGAAAATCTAAAAGTAAATACATTTTGAAAAGAGAGAGAAAAAAAAAATTTCCTGCTGTTCTCAAATGAGGCCTTTGCAACCTATGAATGATGTCATTATTTTGTTGCCCGTACAAGAAATAGAAAGGTCTATTTTCACTTTCTTCTAAGCCATTTATGTAACTACTAAGGTGGTAGTGGAGGTCTCTAAGAATTGTTTTGTAACGCTGTGGTGCCCTCCTTTGAAAAACAAAACCAGATTATCCATGTATAGCACTAAGTGAGGTGGACCTGAGCAAGGAATAGCAATGTTTGCTTTCTGCAGACATCTGAAGTGGGAGCCATGGTAACCAGGCATAACTGATGGCCACACAGCTATCCCCCAGGACTCAGAGGAGCAATCACAGGGATATTAGGTCACATTAACATTTTAAAGCCTACCAATGCACTGAATCATACTTTACTCAACTTGTTGGGTAGATCTGGTATTTCAATCAAAAGAGTTCTAAATACTAGGGGGACCAACTGTCTTGTTTGCTGGGGAATGAAGAATTTCCTGGGATGTGGAACTTTCAGTAAAACAGGGACAGTCCCCCACAAACTGGGATAGTGGTCATCCTGCTAAAGAATGTCCCATTTTCCTGTTGTTGAGGCCAACAAAAGGTGATCAGGTCAAGAGTAGGGGGAGCACAACCCCTTCTTTAAAGCAGTGGTTATCAAACCTTAGCCTGTCTCAGAATCTCCTGGAGGGCTCTGGAAGGTGGCTTGCTAGGTCCTACCGCTAGAGTTTCTGACTCTGTAGATCTGGGTACAACCCAAGAGTGTGCGTTTCTAGTGAGTCCCTACATGAGGCTGATACTACTAGTCCAGGACTACATGTAAGAACCACTGTTCTAAATATCGGGTACTTTGTTGCACATTAGAATTACCTGAAGACTGTAAAAAAAAAAAAAAAAAAAAAGTGCTTGGTTCTCACCCCCTAGAGGTTCTGCTTTAATAACTATGAGGGTATTTTTTTTTCTTTACCAACAAAGTCAGGCTCAAGAACAAGCTATGAGGGTATTTTTAAACCTCTCCAGGTGATTCTAATGTGCAGCGCAGTTTGAGACCACTGCCCGAAAAGGCACTCAATTTAGGAAATGACCCAACTGGCTGACGTTTCCTGATGTTTGTTCATTTGACATTCAACATGTATTTGTTGAGCAACTGCTATGTGCCATGCACTATGCTAGAGGCTGTGTGGTTAGACTCTAGATGATCTCTTCCTCAAGGAGCTTACTGTTTCAGGGAAAAACACAAGACAAACAAGTCAACAAAAAATAATATACAGTAAAAAATTGAGATAAGAGCAGGGAGCTAGGGATCTGAGGAAGTAAGGGTGTGGGGGAACTCTCCTGGACAGAGATGTCATTGAGGATGTCTCAAAGATGACATTTAAGCCAAAACCAGAAAAAGGAGAAGACAGCTATGCTGCGTATAAGCAGAAAAACACTCCCACGGAAGAGAAAAAGTTCTCAGAACTATCTGGAGGGGAGTGCTCCTGGGGGACAGAGAGCTGGGCAGGGTGACCCGAGACAAGGTCACGGGTGGGGTGGACAGGCCCACATCCCTCCTAGACCATGGGAACGAGCTGAAGTCATATTCTAAGTGCACTGGCAAACACTGAGGGAGAACACATTTCTGTTTTCATTTTATATTTGAAAATATATTCATTTTTAGGCTGTCGTGTGGAAAAGAGATTAGAAGCATCTGAACCCAGATTCTTCACCAGACGCAGATGAGAGCGAGAGGTTCAGATGGTGACAAGTCATGAGAATGTCTCCCTGTGGGTTGCTGAGAAGGGCTGCGTAGGGGACACTGTGTGGCTGTAGCTTTGGGGAGGAGAAGAACTGTGAGTGCCAGTCACATACGGTGGCGGTGGCTGAGCTCACGTCTCTTGTGCTCTCGTGGGTGAACTCATCGGATATTAAGTTACAGGTATCAGTTTAGCACCTCCAGCTCTCTTCAGCATGGACTTGGGCTGCAGGCTGTTCTAACGAGGGGCCGGCTTTACAGTTCCCTGTTAGATGAACTAGAGGTTCCAAGGCTGTCAGCCAAACAGGGAAGTCCAATGCCAGGCCCTGCGGCCAAGGAACGTGGGAGTCCCAGGTGCACAGCCATCTGCAGTGGCCCTTTGCCTTTCGTGGGGGGTTTTAATCTGTTGGCCAGATGGAGGGTCAGATTAAATGCTTCTCACAGTAACCAGACACTGAGATGGGAGGACAGCAGGGAGGACAGTCTGTGGAAAAGCCTGTCCTGAGTAAGCAGGTGTGAACTCCCTCAGGGCAAGAGAAGGGGGCGATCTCCCGACACACACATGAACTCTTTGTCACTGCGAAATCCTTGCAGAACACATTTGAGCTGAAACAAAATCCTTCTAAAGAGTAAGTATAGCCAGGCGCGGTGGCTCATGCCTGTAATCCCAGCACTTTGGGAGGCCAAGACGGGTGGATCACGAGGTCAAGAGATCGAGACCATCCTGGTCAACATGGTGAAACCCCATCTCTACTGAAAATACAAAAAAATTAGCTGGGCATGGTGGCGCGTGCCTGTAATCCCAGCTACTCAGGAGGCTGAGGCAGGAGAATTGCCTGAACCCAGGAGGCGGAGGTTGCGGTGAGCCGAGATCGCGCCATTGCACTCCAGCCTGAGTAACATGAGCGAAACGCCATCTCAAAAAAAAAAAAAAAAAAAAAAAAAAGAGAAAGTATATTAATAGTTCTCGTAAGGCCTTTCACAGCTAAAAACCTCTACCTTATCCTAAACTGCATGCAGGTGAAAGAGAGAAGCCCCAGAGTTTAACAGCCAGGGAAACAGAAATGTGAAAGTAGTACGCGGCTGCCAGGGAAAGAGACTTGGAGGAAGGCTGGGACTGCCTTAGGCTTACAGAGTGAGAACATCAGAGCAGACGCCTACGCCCCTGTTCTCAACACTATCCTAGGACCCGTACATTTGCCTCCCTTGGGGATAGGAAGGACTTTGTGCCAGAGGACGCAGCTCATGAAACCTTATCTAGGGCCTGAAGTGGAGCAGAATTTTATCCCATGCAGTGATAATAGGGCTAAGGCAAAAGAGAACCTGCAGGCTGCACTGAGCACACCTGAGATTAAATCACTGTGCACTGGGTTTAAATAGGGATGACACCATTGTCTTCCCTATGTAAGCAACATTCGGGGGAGATAAGTGAAGATAGGCCTGAAAAATGGGTCCAGTAATATTCTCAATAATAAATATTTACTAAGGGCCACCCATGTCCCAAGTACTGGGCTAGGTGCCAGGAACAAGAGGGTAGCTACCCTGACCCAGGTGAAAGAAAGAGACGGGGTAGCTGCCATGGCACAAAGGTCATGTTTTATTTATCTCTGTATTATTTGTGCCTGGCACTCAATATATGGTTATTGAAAACAATGATTTAATGACTTAATAAATTCACTGAAGTAGGTCTGGCTATCGGTGAGTGCTCCATGCCTATTTTTAAACAAATGAATGTGTTTCCTCCACCAAGGACTCTGTGTACAAGATCCCTAGGAAGAAAGGTGGCAGATAAAACAGCTGAGATGATAGAGGTTTGGGGAGAAAAGATGTGGCAAGGATCAAGGCAGATAGTATGAGGAAGAAGAAAGACATGCCGAAACTGGGGGCAGAGAAGAGCTAGAGAGGAAAAGAAATGTGATCATGGCACAGTGCATACCTATTCTGGGGTCAACAATAGTTCAGGGTCATAAAAGCCTAGACGCTATATTAGGAAAATGGAAAAGAAGAGCTGAGGAGCATAAGTGCGTGAAAGAGTTGCCTACCATTGCAGAAAATAAATAGATAATGTCCAAAATGGATAAATGAAGAAAAAGCACCAGAAGTTTGTGCTTCCAGCATATGAAGGACGAAGAGTTAAAAGTGGTCACTCTCAAGTGAAAGGACAGGAGCTGCCCTAACGACTCCTTCCACTCCTCAGTTAGTTTAATGCCCTCCCCTGGCCCTACTAGCCTCTACTGCTTAGACCCAAGTGGCAATAGGACCTGAGTCCCTTAGGCAGCCAACCCCACCCAAGCAGAAAGAAGAGGCCAGAACATGAGCTATAAAATGGAAAACAAGAACAGGCCTTTGAACAGA